TTGGCAGTAGACATGATCTCACCCACTTTTAATAGGATTTGTTTTTGATGAATCATGATAACAAAATTAATTGTCTTTGAACAAATACATATCGCTACCTAAAGGTGAAAAGGTGCCAAGTCCATTTTTTTTTCAAAATTTAGTTTTTGATGCAGAATGGCAGGCAATACGAAACTACTACTACGAAACAATTAAAAAAAAAGGACTTGGCACCTTTTCACCCTTAGGTGACGATATGTAAATATGTATTTGTTTATTTTTAAACATTATAATTTGAAATTACTTATATTTCGTTATGGCTAAGTCGTCGTTAACTTTTCAACTATGTGTGTATGTATGTGTAAGGTTAAATGAAGAAGGCGCCGCGCCGACTTCAATGCTGCGCACATGGTAAAAAATGACATGTCTTCCTCTGCTCTCGGCCGAAGACACTATATAGCTTTTTTGTTTTATTTTATTTTATAAACCTTTTTTAAATAGCTGCAATGTTTAATGAACGTCAGCGGGGATTATTGTCGAAATTTCTGTACACAAGCACACGCTTCCTTATTGCTTCGATACAAAAGACTTAAGTAACGAACTCCGTCTATTGAGGAAATTTCTTCCCAAAAGATTCAAGCAATAAACTTACGTCACAGATATGTACTATGTATGTATTTACATGCCTGGATATCGACATTGCAATATTGCAACATTTCAACTACAATTTATTGCAACGAAAGTAAATGCAAATTTTTTTATCCAGCATATCAAAAATGCAAAAATAGTACAACAAAAATACATGAAAATATATTAACACATTCAAGCGGTTGGTGGCAAAAATGGCACAAGTGGATGGGCAAGTTTCCAGTGAGATATGATTACTTTGCGGAAGAGTTACGAAATAGGTAAATGTAGATGCATACATATGAGTATTTATTTGTGTACATTGTAGCAAGTGGCAGTAAGCAGAGCGGCGATTTGGGAATTCGATGAATGACGCAGTATCTTTTTGCGATCGGCTGTGGGGAGTGTTGTGTTGGTTTTGTGGCTTTGCAGAGTGAAGCATACAAAGTGCTAATTGCATGTGGGCAACTCGCGATGATAGTGAAAGTGTGAATGTACTTATATATACATATGTACATATGTGCGCATGTGTATTAGGGTGGTCCCTAAAAAATATCAACATCACATCATGGGGCACCCCTTTAATTGGTTCTACGTACAAAACAAAAACATACACCAAAATTAAGAAATTTTTAATAAATTTTTAGGGGTTGCAGAAAATGTAATTTTTTTAAATCGCAAAACTTCGACAAAATTTTGACTTAGACCAGGTATACCTAAGCGAGTTTATAAATTTATATGAATAAGTTCAAAGATCAAAATTTTGTCGAATTTTTGCATTTTAAAATAAAATAAAATTTTTGCAATCCCTGGTAAGGATCCTTAATTTTTTGTTTAGTTGGAACTTTTCGTGTATGTATGTAAAACAAAATAAACCGGGGAGCGCCTTACAAAATTTAGATGTTGAAATTTTCTAAGCACCACCCTAATGTGTATGTATGTATGAAAATTTAAATATTTACTTGCATTCAGATGAACCGCGTGGTGCTGCTAATAAATGCTGCTCGATTTAGTGTTATTTAGTGAATAGGTAAATTAAACTATTTTGTTTCTTTTTCTTTATAAACTCGTAGTTGCATTACAACATCGAGTGGGAAATGAACGGACATTAATTGTTGTTATTTAACTTTTATTTGGGTCATAATACAACACTCCACTTTTTAAAAATAATTTGTGCCATATTAAAGTTTCTTACGGGGTAACTCACAGTCTATAATCGACTGGTTCACATCTTCATTGGATGGTTCGCCCCTTTGAGGATGAATGCCGACTATGATAAGAAAAAAACATTGCATCTTAGCACCATCTGGGTGAATATCCGGCATTAGACAGAGATTGTTGGATTTTGAAATGTGTGTCCAAAAACTTCGAGCTTTCATACGTTTTGTAGGACGAATAGAACTGCACTCGATTTCCGAAGGTAAAAATAGCCGCCGACCAACTACAAAACTTTCTCCCCCTTGTAGGACACAAACTTTTATATTTCATGTCCAATTCAGCATTTTTGTATTTTGAAATGTTATTTTGCAAACATCAACATATCTGTCATGTGTGGGTTTTCTTGCCATATGTGTTTACTTGCATATATAGTTGTGAAGTCAGATTATGTCATTAAGCACAATATTTGGAAATAAATGTGTTAATGGCATTGCCATGATTTAAAATTTAACTAAACTGCGGTTTAATCGTAATAATTGTGTTTGGAGATAAAAATAATCGACAAATCACGTTGCCAATTGAGTTCATATAATACCAAAAAAATTAGCAAGTAAAATACTGTTTACATTGTAAACATAATAGAGCAGTGGTTGGCGCACCAACCTTGACTTAACTTTTTAGATCTCAATTTGAAGTGCGAGGAGTTAAGTTTTTTTATTGTAGTTGCACATCGAACATCGCTTTAGATTTTACAACGACCGCTGTAGCCGAGTGGTTAGAGGGGCGTACTGACACTCCTTAAGATCAAGGTTCCCAGAGAGCGAAGCAAAATCCGACAAAATTATTGGAAATGGTTTTATCTTAGCAGGTAAGCGGGGAATCTCGAAAAACGCTTACCCAATCAAGATCCACCACTTCCTTTCTAGTTTACAGATTGCATTAATTTAACATGGGCATGTCATTGAAGGTAATCTAATAAATGTAAAATTTCTTATTATTGCATTACATGTTCTCAAGAATCACGAGAAATATTTTTGCATTATTTCTGTTGTTTTGCGGAGAAGAAAATTTCTTTCCCATTTATTGTGCGTAATTTTATATAAATTTTTATTTTTTTTTTTTAGAGCTGCAGACAGAACTTATGCGAGCATTTACGGTTATTTCATGATTTGTTATTCAAATTATGTGCTTACTATTTTTTAACGATGTAGAGTTTCTGCTCATGTGTATTTCCTCAAAACATTAAGTTGAACAGGTCGCATTGAACATACTTGAACATTAGGGTGCCCATCGAAAATGTTTTTTTTTTTTTTGAAATTTCAAGACCATACCCCTAATTTTATTCGTTTTTATGAGAAATATTATTGCCTATTTTTATAAATATTTTAGAGGTCATTTAGAGGTTGCGACCTGTCGATTTAGGTCAGAAAATAGGATTTTGTAGATTTATGAGTTTTTGAATGACTATTTTTGATTCGATTTCAAAGATCGAATATGATCTGAGAAGAGGATATATAGGCCTTTAAAATGGAATATAATAATTTATTGTCGGACTAGGCTTGTTGGGATTTTTTATCGGGTAAATTAAAAAATACCCATATTTCTCTTAATTTTTTTAAAATTTGACCATCGATAATTTCTACAACTTCAAAATATGAAACAAATTAAATCTATTTTCACATAAACTGATACCTCATTTATTGCAATCTCATAAAAATTGTCGAACTTAGGTGACTTTTCTTAATACGCTTATACGCTTATCTCAAAAACTACTTAACCGATCTCGCTTAGCCTCCTTAAGTACCATATTTAATATTTTTGAAATCGGACGTTGGTTAGGCCATATACATATGTATAGTGTAATCAATGCGAATTCTGAAGTCCTGAAAGTCGTCGATGTGGTAATCTCTCGTGATTAAAAGCAATTAAAAATTTTCACCCCACCGTTCGCCGTTAACGCCTCGTTGAAAGGTATTCTCAGGATCATCGAACCTAATAAGTGCTAAACGATAGTGGTTAAGTTCTGAAAATGTACGTTGACAAGGTATGAATGGACCCCAAAAGTATTACTAGAAAATAGATCATTCTTTTGCCAAATGATAAATGTTTATTGCTGTACATATGTATGCAGTGCTGGATATCTATGCGTATGTAAGTAAGTAAAAACTACCAAATAAATTCCCAATGCAAATAGCACAATAGATACGTGAGCTCTATGCATAGCATAATTACAAACTAATATAGCTGTAAACTGAATTACCAGTCAATTAAAAACCAATTTAATCCGACTAGCTACATAATCCAGCAATAATAATTTTTAATTACAATTTAAAATTTACTAGCAAATTAAATGTATAAATAAACGTGTGAAGTTAATGGAGTTTAATCAGCTATTTGAACACACACTCAGGTTCGTTGCTTAAGTCTTTCATTTAAAGCGCGCAGAGTAATGCCGCAATCAAGTGAGTGAGTGTATTCGAACAAAAAATTCAAAGAAAATAAGCACAACAAAAAGCGCATAAATGCTTGCCGATACTTCCTATTGCATTCGCATCGGAAATAATTGAATGTAGGTAGCAGCGTCCGAATGCCGCCGTCGCCGCATTGCTTTCGTTTGATTTGGTGGAAGTGAATTTCAAATGCAGTCAAAGTGCGGAAAAACGATTGCATACATAATTTCTTCTGCTTAAATGAATGCATATATGTATGTATGTATGTATGCATGCACACAGAAAACCGCATGCAATAAAAAATGAAAATCACAACGTAAAGGCGTACTTTGTAGTCAGGTAAATATTGGCTGTTTTAAATTAAGTCTGCCACTGCATTTCTACTGCAAATTTGCCACTGGTCAACGTAGCGTAAAAACAGGCACTTGAAGGTTGTTTGTTGGCGCAAAATTGGACGGCACTTTATGGGGTATTAAGTAACTCAGTGTTTGGGTGTGGTTCAAATTGCCTGCAACGTTTTTTTTTTTTTGTTTACTGGCGGATGTTTAGTTCTGGCAGATTTGCTTTTAATTTTTTGCCGCTTAGTTGAAAAATTGAACGCATGGAAAACATTTCTGCGCTTAAAAAGTGCTATTTTAAAACAATTTTGAATTATTTTTTTCACACTTCGAATGTCTCTGATTTTTTTCTTAATAGCAAGAATTCACTTTACACACGATTAAATGTTTTTTTATAAACAATAATAGTTTTTTTTTCAAAAAATGTCCAATTGGCTTGCACATTTACCACTAGACTCCGCTGGATCCGCATGGTTCCCGGGTCCTAAATCACAAAATTTACAACTTCAGCGCAATGCAGTGAATGCACGGCCTTGGCGTTAGAGCAAAAGATTTCCTTCGTGGTTTGTGTATGCGTTTATATAATCCACTTGTAACGGCTAGCACGCCGTGCAGACCAGCTTGAACTCCAGCGTGTGGAGGAAAAAACTGTTTTTATAATTCTTTGACACTCCAGTTAAATACCCCGGCGTAAAAGCAAAGCGGCGTCAAATGCAGCGCAGCCACAGCCACAAAACAACACAAAAACCGAGTAAGACAATGTCAAAACCAGGCTAGGGAATAAAAATGTGTTGAAAGCGAAATGCCAAAAGATAATCGGCAGCGAGAGATCCAGAGACCCAAGCGCCAACTTTGAAAAAGAGCCGCCAACTACATATAAGATGTGGCTAAAGAAATGCAGACGCGCATGCGATGTGGCGCACTAGCTATTGAGCGCTTATGAGTATGTAAAAATACATACTGCTGAGAAGAAAGACAAAAACAAAAACGGAAAAACAAAAGGCGGCAACCTTGAGTTGTGATAACGGTTTTGGTTGTGCGCTTTAGCGGCGAGCGCCCACTAGCTATGACATAATATCACAAATGTAAGCAAAAGCACGCAAATGAAAGCGAAAGTGAAGCTGAAAGAGCGGGGAGCGACTGACTGATCGGGTATTTTTGTTTGGTTTGGAGAGAAAAGCTGCGATCGCAGCTGGTTTAAGTGAAGCGGTGATAAAGCTTTGGAAAAAGCTTACACTCCTCACTGGCGCTGTAGCGCAATGTAGCGAAGGTTTGAGTGTGAGCACGCATATTTGGGCTTGTTTTCGCTCTTGGGTACGCTCTCTCTCTCTCTCTTCACTTAACCCTTCAAAGGCCAACGCATTTCGTCATATTTTGTAACTTTTGCATCTTATTCACAATGCAATTTCATCTACTATTGGCGGCTAGTTCCCAAAATATCAAATAATTACTTTTTTTGTCTCCATTCACTTCTGCAAGCGCTTGCAACACACACGCTCCCAAAGTTGGGTAACAACAAAGACTAAATGCTGCTTAACAAAATTATTCAAATAAAATAAATAAAAAAAAGTTGTCTTCTCCCAAGCGTGTGCTGCAATAGCTGTGTGATAAATTCGCGGAACGCACAAAAATGGCAATCTGCAAAAATGATAAATGTAGCCGCTTTTTGGCGCACAAAAAAGCAAACACATAGACGTACATACATACTGGTTGATTATGTAGCTGAGTTGCTGCTGTGTTTTATTTTGTTTCCACATTAAAAGGCAGCAGTTATGTCTTAATTGAATTTTTGTAACTATTTTTAATGTAACTGTTTTGTTTACAGTTTTTTTGCTGCATTCCTGGGAATTCTAAGCCAATATAGGCAAGGTCACCACGTATTTCATACTTTTGTTTTGATTAAATTTTCATTGAAGTGAATCACTTGAAATTCTCCTGATGCCGTAAAATTCAATAAGCAATTTGTTTTTATTAATTGTGCCTATGGCATTTGTATGCCAATGACAGCATAATTAACTAGTTAAATTACCCTGTTTACATACACAAACTTTGGCACATATTTTACATACATACATATGTACGTCTCATTTTAATTAAATTTGGTCAGCTACTATTTTGATTTGCTTTAAAAAAAAAATCGGTTAAGGGCAATGATCGCTTGCTGGTTCGTCGCAATTGCTGCTTTGTGCGCGCGCCTACTTAAAGATTCACAGCACTCAATATATTATAACCAATTGAGAAGGTTTATTTCGGCACACACATTGAATTTCATATTTTTTGTCTTGCCCTGCTTGCGGGGTTTTATCATTTTTTTGACAACGCTTTGTATGCTTTGTGCACCGGCGTAGGGGTCGCCCGTAAATGGGAGTGCCGTACATTCAATTTAATGTGTAACATACCGCTCGGAGATACTCCAAAATGGGTTTAAATAATATAATAAATTAAGTCCGTATTTCGTAATATTCGGCTGATATACATATGCATAATTTTGTAATATCAAAACAATAACAATGGCAAAATTTCTTAACTTTTTAAGTTCATATTGAGCCATAGTAAGACAAGAAAGAGCTTTCAACGTTTATAAAAGCGATACAATCTGCTTAACCTTTAATCGCTCCTTGGAACAAAAATTTTCCATGTGAATCTTGTTTTACCCTTTGTTTTTCTGTCAGTGAAGATTGAATTCCATTGTTTAATTAATTTGTAAGTCCCTTTCGTGTGATTTCTTTAATCGGCAATTGGAAATTTTCAGTAACGCACGATCACGGAAGTTACATGATGTTCTCTCAAAACTTCACGCATGAAAAGCGTGATACGGCGTAAGGTGACGTAGAAAATCATTTGTTTTACCCATCTCTAGTTTCCATCCGTTTTTTTTTTTAATGTTTTTTCTTCCTCTTCATTGAACACTAATTTTTCATATTGAAGAAAACCAAAAGTCTCTCATTCAATTTTGACTATTTTATTATCTTTATTTCGCTTTTCAATTTTACATTGCGCGGGGCTTTAACATTCAGCCGCGTCAGAGAAAATTGAATTTCCTGAATTCTGCGAGATTCGACGGGACTGTCTGTACCATAATTTAAGTTATATTGATGAGGGATCTGACCACAGAGGAGTAGAAACACTTCCAGTATCAAAGTCAAAAGATACTAAAATTAAGATTTTAAAATAAAGTTGCCACATATAAATTAATGAACGTTAATAATGCCATTATATGAAGTTTTTGAATAACATACCCAATATTACAATAATCACAGCCATTTATATTCACTCAAATAATCGAAGTAACATTTATAGTCCAATTGAATCAAACACTTGGTGAAAAAAATCTCCTAAAAATGCGTTGATTGCATAATCTAAAGGAAATCGTGCATTCCAACAAAAATTAAACAAATAAAGGTACACTAACCATTTTAGCCGAATGCAAGAAAGTAAACAAAATTTGACCGAAAAATCGAATAGCAAAAAATGCCGACAATGAGGTTTTTAAATAACAAAATGAAATCATTTGCAAAAACAAAAAATTGCAGTCATTTGGAATGTGTGCAGCAATTTCAAAAATAAGGAAGTGAACGCTAATAAATAAAAGCAACACAAGCGCTGCATATGTATGCGTGTAGTTGTTGCTTGAATATGATAGCCAATGAGGTAAGTGGTCCAGACATTTCAACTAACAAACCACATAACAAACTAGGATACAGACGGGCAAACATATGAACAAGCGTAGTCAAAATTACATACATACATATCTCTGCACTAAAACAAAAAATCAGAAACCACAAACAGCTTTTACAAGCTAGCATCCATACATACATATGTACTTTGTTTGATATGTTTTTAGATCATTGTGTGATTGTACCAGTATTTGTTTTGTTGCTTTACAGGCGATTAGAGAGCAAGCACGTCATGTGGTAAGTAGTTGCTGGCTGTAGTTTGGATGGGAGACGGTTATGCTTTGTGTCTTAGCATGAGTCCACCAATCATAAATGGCAACATTGGTGCCAACAGGCGTTGTGTTTAAAAAACTAAAGGCGACGACGTATTCGCTTTCAACCAGTTGTATTACTTTTACTTTCCTACTCCATCGAAGGCAAAAATAAGAGATGTAGAAAATCAGTAATTTCAGATTTTAAGCGATGTTTTACAAAATAGACCCAAGGAACTATGAGAGAGGATTACTATAAACAAAAAGTAAGTACACAAATTCCGTGGAAGATAATTACCGTTAATCTTATATTGCTTTAATAGTGACTAGGTATGGCAAAAAAAATAAAAATAATCGATTAATTAATCATATGACTAATCACAAGCCAAAAAAAAATTAATTGCAGTTATTGAGAAATTTTTAAAGCCACTTTTTTATAGTGAGTATTAACAAAAATATTTTTCCATACAAAATTTCGAATTCTCTTGTGAATTAGCCTTAAATAAAATTAAAAAGAGTATTTTTAGCGACGATAATTATTTATTATTTAACCATTTTTGCGAAAACAAAAGTTTTGATAAGCTCAGCAGGCACCAAACAAATGACAGTATGACGAAAGTCCGTAAATTTTTGGGTAAATAGTTTTGATTTCCTCAAGGTTGACCAATTAGCCTACGTGCGGCTTATTTAGAACCAACTTCTAGCATTCGACCAACTGTTCGCCGATAAATCAATGCGTGTGTAGAGCCCTTAACGTTTCCATACTTAGGGTGCGTTCAGAAATGCATCAAGCCAAAGCATCAGTATCTTTTATTTCTAAACTATAATTGATGGAAACGTCTTATTTGACAGCTTCGATACAACCAGAGCCTGAACAAAAGTATTTTCTTTTAACCTAATTTCAGCAATGCAGACATTGTGAGGACCATGTCTAGTGATGACAAGATGGAGACAAGTTAGTATCAGGTGGCAATAAGGGCTGATGGCTTAGTGTCTATTACTTCTGGCCTTAGATTTTAGTTATAGTGTTGCACTTGTTTGGGTAACAGGTCAGCGCATCTTTCACGGCAACGTAATGACAGGCGTAAAAGATTCTTAGACCGCTCAGTTACATTGCCTGACCAAACATGGCTAATCTAAGGTAGAAAGACCAAAAATCTTGAGTGGTCCGTGGCCTGCTTAGTTCTTAAAACGTCTTCTATATTAACTCGTTGCGGCTCGTTGGGTGCGTACTGCCTGATATGGATATCAGGAATACACTTGGTATCACTTATCAAACATAAATACAGACTTCACAGAAAATGCCTACGAAAGATAGCAAAACACTCTAGCCAGCTATAAATGCCTAATATATAAAGTTTCTACTTAACCTGAGAAGATAAAACATCTGCAGTAATTGGAGTTCTTAACGAAATGGACGACGATGGGAAGGAAACCATCCAACAATGACCTCAAAGCAATAGATATTAAGAACTTATCCACTTTAGGGTTAGATTGAACCGTGGGCAGAAAGTTGTTCCAGGAACTTAATCCCTACCTTGGACACAACGTGATGATCAGCGAAGATGTTATTGCAATGAACCGTTTCTTAAAATCGCGGGTTTGTAAAAGCAATAAGTACTATCCAGATATGTCAACAAATAATATTTGAATTTTTCTGCCTAAGGGGTCGCATATTAACCATCTTCTACTAAAATATAAAAAAGTAATTGAAAACCCCCTTCGACAAATGCGAAAATTTCCAAACTTTTGATT